CGCAGCGGGATTGCAGACGGCTTGGCTGGCTTTTCATGCAGAGCTTGTCCATTTTTGTTTTTTTTTTTTGGTCCGTTGTGCTATTTACGTAACCTATTTGCAATTGTTTCATATGCCGTAAGTTCGAGTGTATGGCTGTGCGTGTGTGTGCGTGTTCTATGAAGCGTAGATGTGGCCATGCCCCTTTCGTATATGTATGCGTCCAGCGGTCGCATTTAACTTCATTTATCCGCGTTGTTGTGTTTCACCTCTGCACGTTTCCACTACCCTATACAGTCGATGCACAAGGTATATTATGTCAGCATAGAGCACACACAACAGGCTAGCCTGGATGCGCAGAGAAATTATTACGCTCAGTCATCAAATGAATATTGATGCAGACGTCATGTTTGAAAACCAAATACTTTATGCAAATAAGAGTAATAATACAAAAGTTGGACTAATAAATAGTACTCACATATTGGTACAGGGTATGTGCTAGTCGAGTGTTTGTCTTACATTTTATGCTTTTATGTAGTTGTCGGCGTTTTATCGCGACATTGGCAAACAATTTTCGTATGCGCTCCACTTGCTATGCCCGTCGCTGTTGCCCCTCCCTCCACCCAACCGCTGACGCCTCGACGGCTCTACGTGTTTCGCAAGTTAAACTGTGCGACACAACAACAACACAGACAACTTGTATTAAAAGTAAACTGTCAAATATTAAGAAGCAGCGCAGGGACAGAAAGACAGACACAGAAACAGAAACAGAAGCAGAAGACAAAACAACGATTGTCGAAAGCGACACTTTTGCAGAATGCGTGGTCAAAACTGAAACTACAACACGAGTACAGTTATCAGCGAAATGCAGAAGTGTGGATGCGCTTACAATACAGTTAAATCTGTTCGTAAGGGAGAGAGAGAGAGAGAGAGAAAGGTAGAGTTAGTAGACAACCAAGCAGATAAATCGGCTATAGCTAGCTTTATATGTATGCATACCAAAGCGTCAAGCCTTGAAGGATAACGGTACGTCTTGTTGTGAGAGTATTTGAATTATTGAGGCTAATCAAATTGCCTTTAATTTTGAGAGTATTTAATGTAACGTAAATTGATTGAATTATTCCAAACAGTCAAAATTGAGATGGATTATTTATGTATGCTTGATCTATATTTTCTTGCGATATAGGGTATTCGTTGCGCTCTGAATTTCAGCTGAGAAGTTGGTTTGGGGCATTTCCATAACTTTTAGCGTATTCGTATATTTAATGCAGTCATAAAATAGACGAACGCAGCTTAAAAAAAAAAAAAACAAAAGACCCCGCACATGACACCAAGTAAAATGTTATGGCTGTTGCTTTTATTGAAAACTGTTTGACCTTGTCCAAATACCCACACACACACACACACACACGCACGCAAACATTGGTATTTGAAACTTTTGCATTACCCAAAAGTGCGCCAAAACAAAAAAGCCGCTCAAAATGTTGGCCACCATTTTGAATGCCAAGTCAAACAAGAGAGTGGAAAAACACGTTATTTTAGAACCAGTGGCTAAAGTTTAACTACTTAGCAACTACTTAAAAAAAGATGTAAAAGCTGTAAAGTATTTTAAATATTTGCACTTCACTTTAACAAGTCTGAAGTGGGCGAATCAATGAGTTTGAAAATCTTCTTATTCAATAAAAAACAAGAACATATATTTGCATATAATAAATTGTTTTTCATTAAAATTTGAAAAAGTGCCTGCGTCATTATCAATCCGCCATTTCGGAACTTTACAACTCATTTGCAGGTTAAGTTTTCGCATGTGTGTGTGTGTGTGTGTGTGTGTTTTGATTGAGCAAGACTTGCAGCATTTTCCGGCGATTGTGCAGATGCCGCAACTGACCAAACAGTCAGCAAAATAAATAAATTGCATTTAAATACTTGCGGCAATCACTTTACAATCACTGCCATATTTCAATATGGATTTTATCAAGAACTAGAAGACTGCTGGAGAGCAGTATTGGTAAATTGTAAAGCAATTTGAATTTTCAGCCTTAATCTCGAACTCGAGTCAGCCAAACATCCAGTCAACTTACTATTTTATTATTATATTTATTTAGAAATCGAACTCAGATTACAAATAATATCTGATAGTTAGGGCGCGCCAGTGTATTTGAAAATGAGGCTTATAGCAAGCAGCTATGGTACATGTGTCATAGCTACCAGGGTATTGTGTGTCAAAATGGTGCTGCCGCTGCTCAACACTGTGAACAGCCGTGAACTGTCATCAACTGTCAAGTACGCGCCATGTTTTAGCTCACGCACGCATTGCAGTGGAAAGAAGAAGCACGTGCCACAAAGTTAAGCAGGCAAAAAAGCAAACAAATTGCATTTGTTGCAAGATAAGCAACAACAAAGCTGCTAACTGCGCCCATAGCAAAATTATAAACAAATCGGAGCCGGTGCCAACATTGGCTGTAGGTAATTATCGAGCTGTACAATAATAACAAACTGTTTGTAAAACCGTCACGAAAAAGAAGAAGCACGCCGCGCTACAATAACAGCGAGCGAGAGGGTGAAAAAAGAAAATTGCAACCAGTCGCAGCAGCAGCAGCAGCGCAGACTCTCTGCACGCACGAGAGCATTAACAGCGCTCTCCTCTCTCCCCCCCGCCGGAGACCAAGTGATTGGCAATAACCAAAAAAACCGCGTGGTTGGCTTGTTTTTGTTTTCATTGTTGTTGTTGCCGCTTGGCAAATTGCATTTTATTTAAACGCGAAACGCGTGTGTTGTGCACTTGTGTCCGTCTTTTTTTGCAGAGTCAAACATTAAGGTTAGTTGAAAGCGTAAACAATAATCGCCATGGTGCCCATTGGAGCCGTGCACACTGGCCATCCCGGAGTTGTGCATCAGCAGCAGCCGCCGCAGCCAATGCCAACAGCGCCGAGTGGGCCAAACACGCTGCAACCCAGCTCAGCGTCATCGACATCCTCGAACACAACATCGAACAAGAGTTCTATGTCGGTCAAGCCCAATTACACGCTGAAATTCACGCTTGCCGGGCACACCAAGGCCGTATCTGCGGTCAAGTTTAGCCCAAATGGCGAATGGCTTGCCAGCTCATGTGAGTTGCCTTTTTGAATGTTGTCAATCCCCGAGCAGTTTATATGAACAATCGTATTTTACAGCTGCGGACAAACTTATAAAGATCTGGGGCGCATATGATGGCAAATTTGAGAAGACCATATCCGGCCATAAGCTGGGCATTAGCGATGTGGCCTGGTCTTCCGATTCGCGTCTGCTGGTCAGCGGCAGCGATGACAAAACGCTTAAAGTCTGGGAGCTGAGCACCGGCAAGAGCCTGAAAACGCTTAAGGGCCACAGCAATTATGTGTTCTGCTGTAATTTTAATCCGCAATCCAATTTGATTGTATCGGGCAGCTTTGATGAGAGCGTACGCATCTGGGATGTGCGCACCGGCAAATGCTTGAAAACTCTACCCGCCCATTCGGATCCCGTTTCGGCGGTGCATTTCAATCGTGATGGTTCATTGATTGTTAGCTCCAGCTATGATGGTCTATGCCGCATTTGGGACACGGCTAGCGGACAGTGCCTGAAGACGCTGATCGATGACGACAATCCGCCCGTTAGCTTTGTTAAATTCTCGCCCAACGGCAAATACATACTGGCAGCCACATTGGACAATACACTGAAACTGTGGGACTACTCCAAGGGTAAATGCCTGAAGACCTACACGGGCCACAAGAACGAAAAGTATTGCATATTTGCCAACTTCTCTGTTACCGGCGGCAAGGTACATCCAATTTGATTTACGCTGAGCACAAATCCTAAATTTATCATTTCATTTTTTCTGCTTTGGCACAGTGGATTGTCAGCGGCAGCGAGGACAACATGGTTTACATATGGAATCTTCAAAGCAAAGAGGTTGTACAAAAGCTGCAGGGACACACGGACACCGTGCTCTGCACCGCCTGCCATCCCACAGAAAATATAATAGCTTCTGCTGCGCTGGAAAACGACAAGACCATAAAACTGTGGAAGTCAGACACATAGAGCTGGTTGCAATCGCATTGTGCAACAACGACACACACACAAAATCACACACACACACACATTTCTTTAATAATCTTATTTTAAAAACCAATTACGTTTAATTAACCTTTTTTTTTTTTAATCGATTAAAACAAAAAAAGTACTCGTAAAACATTATTCAGGCTCGCAGCAGTAGCAAAAAGAAACATTCTAAGTTACAATTGCAAAACAATTGCAGTTGTGTATATTTAAATATTTATTAGCTAATGTATTGGCCAGTAAAAGAAACATACTGAAAATCCTTCAATTTTTATACTTTTTACCACAATTGAAAACTAAATTTAAGCAATAATCGACACACACAACTCACACACATAAAAAACCAACAAGAGCAAGCGTGCAAGTGAATGTAAATTTAAAATAAAACAAAAAACAATCATAATTATAGCTTTTGTGTATGATCTGTTAGAAACCTTATCAACTGAGCAACTATTCATTTCTTAAAACGTATTCTATTATTATTATAATTCCTTGTTTAGGGGACATTTGTGCTTAGGATATTAAGAAAATCTTTGGAAATCCCCAAAATATGTTTTTGTTTTGTTTATTATTTTAAAGAACGCATGACAAATTCATGTTGACTACGAACAGTTCTGGTTTTGTATATGTCTATAAGGTTTAATCTTATGTATGTATTAAGAACCTAATAACTTGATAAAAAAAAAGAATATATTATGTTAATTGAATGAATGACCAAAACAGTTTTATTTAATACGATTTAATGCCCAGGTAAATACGATAAAAACAAGCTTTCCATGAAGATGTTGACACTTTTAATACCATTAATAAATTTAAATTAAAAACAAAACAATTATAATATTTATTTTTTATTTTAAACAAATTCAACTGCGCCAGTGCTGTAAAATTCGCAATGCGCAGTGCCGATGTTGCCAGTGCGATACCTTCCGATAACACAACCGATAACTCGTGCTGCAGTAGCTACCATCGCCAATGAATAATTTGGTTTAAGTGCATTTGGCATTCAATATATCCCGTGTTTTGTGTTGTTTTTCCCACGTTTCAATCAATATGGTAAGTTGGCCAAAATTGTTGTTGCTTTTACGACACGTACATTGTTTATAGTGTGTTTATTCTTGCTACTTTTGCATTTACAGGCAGCTTACACCGAGGATCAGTTGGCTGGTGAGTGTGCGTGCGTGTGTGTGTGTGTGTGTGTGTGGCACGGGCATTAGTGTGCGTCTGTGTAAGTGGGTGTTGGTTTTGAAATGGGCGCAGAAGTTCAAAGTGCCAACTCAAAGCTTGGCCAGCAGCGAAAACGGCAAAAAAAAAACCAGAACAAAAGAACAGAAGCAACACACAAGTATTTGTGTCTGACGTTGTCAACATTTGCATGCCACCGCTTTGTGTCTGTGCGTGTGCGTCTATGTGTGTGTGTGTGTGTGTGTATGTGTGTGTTACACATCTTCATATACGCGGCATGAATCATTGATAAAATAAAACGAACATAAAGCGGCAACGGGGCCAACGAAAGCAGCCATACGATCGCGTCAATGACTCACAAAGCGAACGCGCAAAGCAACAGCATTTTACAGTTAAGACGCGCTCAAACAGCTTGAAGGATGCGTCCGACTGACTCACTGACTGGTCCAGGACAACGGGTGCGAACTGTCGCTAGCTCGTCTCAGCGTCGACTGCAACAGCTGCAGTCGCTTGCATTGAACAGCAGCCGACAAAAAAAAAGAGCACAAAAAAAAAAACATAAACAGAAACAAATACTTTTGGCCATATCCATGTTGGCCAACAACCGACAAACGACGGCTGCCATTTAAGGCGGCATTTGTGGGTCAACATTGGCGCATGGCCCTGGGCCCAGGCCGTTCCGCGCCATCCCTCCCCCCACCCAATCAACGGCTCTGTGACATTGCGAATCTCTTTACGCAACTCGCTGGAAATGTTCAATTTTCGCTATTCTGATAACTTAATCAAAGCCTATTCAATTGCTTGTCGCCTGGCGATAAGTCGCTGCCGCTGCCGCTCCCGCTGCTGCTGCTGCTGCTGCTGCTGCAGTGACGTCAGCTGACCGCAATTTGTACGTATTGATTTACCTGAACGAACGCACGACGACGCCTGCAGCACGTTTCAGCTGCTCAGTTTTTACCTTAAATGGACAAAATGCTGTGTTGTTGTTTTGGATTTGGCCATTTTTGGCCTGTTGCAACAACAACAACAACAGCAAAATTGGGCAAGCGCCGCTTCAGAATGCCGACGGGCAAATGCACTTCCAGCGGGCAGAAGAACACATTTAAAATATTATCAACTATTTCTTGATGCATAATATAGAAGTCGAATGTTGAGAAATCTTAGCTCAAATATTAAATCCGTCAATTTTAGACTCAGCTCAGTTTTCAGGCGATTGTCGGCTCTAAAACAGAATCTTACTAAAAGTTTGCAAATGAATCCAATCCAATCCAAACAAATTATTGCATATAGTCTTAATAAGAGCTGATCAAGTTTGCCAGGGCGCAGGGAATCTGGTATATAGAATGACGATAGATATATATATATACAGGTTGCATTCAATGTATGACACAATTAATGATAATAATATAATGCCCACTGCAAGGGTATTTATTGTCAACGGCAGCTGCTGCTGCCGCATGTTGTGCAATCTGTTGCAGCATCGCAGCAAGTGACTCAGTAGCAGGCGGTGCAGCCAGGCAAACGGTTGGGATTCAATATAATCATCATGTATTATTACACGGCACACGTAAAGCCAACATTCACCACGCTCGAAGGTTGTAATTCGATTATTTTGCGCTCAATAACTAAACTATGATTCAATTTGAAATCTTTGCAGAATTCCAGGAGGCGTTCAATCTGTTTGACAATCGCGGCGATGGCAAGATACAGCTGAGCCAGGTGGGCGAGTGCCTGCGGGCACTGGGCCAGAATCCCACCGAGTCGGATGTGAAGAAGTGCACGCACCAGCTGAAGCCCGATGAGCGTATCTCGTTTGAGGTCTTTCTGCCCATCTATCAGGCCATATCGAAGGCGCGCTCCGGCGATACGGCCGATGATTTCATTGAGGGATTGCGTCATTTCGATAAGGATGCCAGCGGCTATATATCATCCGCTGAGCTGCGTCACTTGTTGACCACGCTGGGCGAGAAGCTAACCGATGAGGAGGTGGAACAGCTGCTGGCCAACATGGAGGATCAGCAGGGCAACATCAACTACGAGGAGTTCGTGCGCATGGTCATGAGCGGCTAAGCCCCAAAGCAGATCTATCAAAACAGAGCAGCAGCAGCAGCAACAACATCAACAACAACAACAGTTACAATAACAATAACACACACCTGCCATGTTAGCTAGCCTAGCCGAGTTCATTCCGCCAAAACTCAACTCCCAAGATTCCAAGATTCCACTTTTAATTCACGCTTAGCCATCAATTTGTATCTTTTGTATATTCTTGCATTTCGGGGCAAATAGAATTGATTCCAACTAAATACAACTAGACGCACCTTAAGCGCGACCAACCCCATGACTAAGACACACACAAACACACACACACACAGACACACACACAACATTAAACGGTCGTTTAATGCAGGGTAATGCACATCCTCGGAGAGGTCGCATCGTTAACATTGCGTATTATTCTAAATGTATCGAGTTTATAATCCAACAGATTTTTATATACTATATACCCATAATGGAACTCAACGTCTTCAACGAGTATCTAGTAACAAGTATTTCTTAATTAATGATTTGATATATATGCGAGGGTAGCGTATAATTGAACTTTAATGCGCATTTCAAAGTTTTACATGTTTTTTTTTTTTATTTGAATAATTTAATAATATATTTAATAATTGAAACGAATGAAAGTAGATCTTTTTACAAAAGAAACGTACTTAAAGTTATTAAAAAACATATGAAACTTACAATATTTTGTGTTTTCTTCAACTAAAGTTCGAATAAATCGTTAAGCAAAACGAAATTCAAGTTGAAACCGTCCACAAAAACGGTGCAGTATTGTAGCAGCGAGCTTATTGTCGGGGCTACTTAAATTGTAAGTGCTCCGAAGACAAAAGAGAATTGGCAAACATTTTGAATTTCAGCTATGGCATTTCAACAAATCGAATGTCATTTTTGTTTACTCAGCAAAAGAGAATACATATTTGCTGCATTAGCTAAAATAATGATGTATATATAATTAATATTATTCATTGCAATTTAGGTGTGGCGCTCAAGGCGATCAATCAATGTCGGCCAGTATTGTTATGGTATTTTATTTGGTTTTTGGTATTTTCTCTGTCGTTATCTGGCGGTCACACTGCTCAAGCCACAGTATAGAAATAAACAAAAGCAAAAATGTTATATTTAATTTAAGCTTTAAGCATTTTGTACAGTGCTAAACTGCATTCCTTAATTAGCGCCTAGCGTTGTATTTAGTTGCGCATTGTTTTTGCGATGTCGAAAGCTGCGGGCGTAGTCGCCACATTGCCAGGTGGCGGCGAACCAAGTTCGCCAGTGCAAAAGGTCTGGAAGCCAGAATGTGAGTAATATCCAATGAGTGAGTTGTACGCAAAGTAGTTATCGACTGATTAACATTATCTTACAGTGTATAGAATACAATTGGACGCACCGGCACCGCATCCTGTGCGCTGTCAGCGCACCTTGCCACTACCGCCGGCCAAGAGCACCGCCGACGCCGTTGAGGAGAACAATCAGGCGGTGCGTTTGTACGGCACGGAATACCATGGCGTGATGGGTCACCTGGAGGCCGAACAGCTGCTGGCCAATGCCAGCGATGGCAGCTATCTGGTGCGACGCAGTCCCAAAACGGATGGCTATCATACGCTGAGCGTGCGCTTTAATAAGCGCACAAAACACTACAAGGTCTTTTACAAGCCGGGCGATGGGCATTATCTGCGCGAGCAGGACAAACACTATGAGACGGTGCACGAAATGGTTGCCGATGGGCTAATCAACTTTCACATGCAGCTGCACGCCAGCCCCATCATACAGCAGATTAATCAGCAAACCAAAAACTGCTACCAGCAGAGCCCCTACATGACGCTGAATCGCCGCAAGCTGCGCGCACTCTCCAATGAGCTGGGCAAAATGTCTGGCGCGGGCAAAACAGATGCTTGTGACGGTTCTGCTGCGTCAACGGATGCGACTGCGGCTGTAGCGTCGTCCCAGGACAGCCAGATCTGCCAGCACTTGCCGCCACAACAGCAGCAGCAGCCGCAACAAGCTGCCGCCGATCCCATGCCTCTTGTGTATGAGAAGCCGCACAATTTTAAGGTGCACACGTTCAAGGGGCTCAACTGGTGTGAGTTCTGCGCCAACTTTCTGTGGGGCTTCACCGCGCAGGGCGTCAAATGTGATGCCTGCGGCTTTATGGCGCACAACAAATGCTCCGAGCTGGTGCCGCCGAAATGTGTGCCCGATTTGAAATGCATCCGTGGTGTCTTTGGCACCGACCTGACCACCATGGTGCAGCTGCATCAATGCAATATACCATTTGTGGTCCGTCGCTGCGTCGAGGAGGTGGAGGCACGCGGCATGCTCCAGGAGGGTATCTATCGCGTCTCTGGATTTGCCGATGAGATCGATGCCCTCAAGCTGGCGCTCGATCGCGACGGCGACAAGACTGACATGTCCGAGGCGGCCTATGGCAATGTCAATGTAATTGCGGGCACACTTAAGCTCTATCTGCGTCTGCTGCCCGTGCCGCTGATCACGTTCCAGGCATATCCCAGCTTTATGGCTGCCGGCCGTAAGTAGTCCGACCCCACCAGGGGTCATCTCAGCTAATTTGCCAGCACGCTAATTTGATTTCTTTGCAGGCAATGCAATGCCAACGGAGCAGCTGCAGCTAATGGCGGACGCAGTGCGTCGCCTGCCGCCGGCCCACTACAGTTGCCTGCAGTATATGCTGGAGCATCTCAAGCGGTGAGTCCTATTGCAGAGTACTATTTGAATGTTTTATTTTATATATATTTTTTTTTTGGCTATTTACAGCGTCGCCTCGCATTATGCGGTCAACAAAATGAATGAGCACAATCTAGCCACTGTGTTTGCGCCCACGCTGATTGCCACGCCACAGCACATGACGAATCTCACGGAGGAGATATTTATGCTCTCCTCGTTGATAACCCACTGCGAGACCATCTTTGTCAGCTCCAAGCAATAACGATGCCCAGCGGGCGAGCGAGTGAGATAGCGTGTGCATCTCTCTCTCTCTCTCTCTGTTTCTCACTCTCTCTCTTTCTGTTTCGTTATTTTATCACTGTTCACGTTTCTTAAACGTTTTCTATCTACGCACTTCTTGCAATCCTTAATTAGTTTATACATTTTAGTCAAGCATTTATTTATTTATTAAAACATTTTGCCGCATCTTTGATGCATTCACCAAAAATCTAGAATTTAGGATATTGAAATGAAATTTTCTGTATTTATTAATACTATTAGAATTGCAATGCAAACGATTATTATCAACATCAACATTGAGCCTTCCACATATAATATATATATTTATATATATATATATAGAGCATACCAAACGATACTGTATACTTTTACCTAGTTTTTTTTTCTCAAATTTTTCACTTAATTTCGTTTTAAATTGCCTTTTACGAATTAGCATTGAATGTTGTAAGATTAACGTACGAATTTATCTAGAATTTTTTGGAAATATTTTTGAAATGTGTTTAGCATGAATCGATATGATAAATAAAGATATTTATTTAAAATTAACAGCATCCGATTGTTATTGTTTTTTTTTCTTTACCAAGGAAATGTGAAGCGTAAGTATTTCTGGACTATACAAGATTGGGCTCCTGATGAACTAAGGTGTTTTCAAAGCGATCTCTATGAAAGTTTCGGGGCTTAAATATGGCACGGAACCGAGTGTATATGCCAAAGTACAAGGCGTTATCTTTATGAAGGATAGATGATTTCTTGCAAAATTTATTCTGCAGAAGAGGGTGAAGTATTTTCAAGACGAAAGTCTAGGCCTAGTGTAAGTCTTTCTTATATATGCGAATCAACTTGGCAGCTTGAGTGTTTCAATTAGCGAGCGAGCTCTGTACTTGAATACTGTGAATGTGAATACGACAATTAATCGCATAGGCCTAGCTGCTTGGGTCACAAATGTGTAAAGCTAACCAGCTTAGTTCAGCTCTCTCAGACTTTGATTTGTTTACGTCAAAATTTTGATTTTCTCATAAAAATTTGAAAGTGGAGAGTTTTAAAAACCAAAAACATAACGGCAAACGCGATAAAATAATAATTAAAAAAAAAAATCAAAGAAAAAAAAAACAAACAAAAAAAAAGGGGAAAAAAAGTTTATAAAATTTGAAGAAAATGAACGGAACGGTTAATGAGGAAGAGGGCATCTACAAGGTGAGCCATTTCTGGACATGTGCCGAGCTGCTGCCAGCGCTGCCCCATGTGATAAAGCTGCGCGAGATCTTTCAATTGTTTGTGCGGCCGCTGGGCAGCAATGCGCTGGACATACTGAAGGTATCCGAATGCCTGCGCGCAATGGGCGTCCACTTCAAGGAGTCCAAGTTGAAGGCGTGTCTGGTGCAGCGCCTGCTACAGTTTCCACGTGTGAAGCCGCCGACGCGCGTCAGCTTTGAGCTGGTGCTGAGCATCTACTGTGAGCTGGCCAAGCTGGACAATATGCCCAGTGCGGCGATGATGATCAATGGATTGCGCTGCTGTGATCTGAACGGGACGGGCAAGCTGCCGTATGAACAATTGCGACGAATGCTGACAACGGTGGGCGAACGGCTGAACGAGTCGGAGGCATCCGCACTGCTGGACACCATGAAGGATGACAGCGGCAATGTCAACTATGTGGCGCTGATGGAGAATCTGTTCTGCACGGACGGCGAGGCCGCCGCCAAGCTGCAACAGTCGAGCATTTATCTGGAGGCGCTCGGCAAGAATGCCTGCCACATGGACATGCAGAAACGGGACGCATTTATCAAGGCGCTGCGCAGTCTGGATTTTACCAATACCGGCTACGTTTCGCCCGAACGGATGCTGGACCTGCTCAACCGCACCGGAGACAGCTTCAGCAGCGCCGAGCTTGTCACACTTACGCGCGGCATGACGAACTCCAAGAAGCAAATCGATTATCGCCGTTTTCTGCGCCTCATCATGAACGAGTGAATGTTTAATTTTTATTTGGCCGACTATTAGATGCGTGTACTAGAAATCGATTTGGCAAACCCATTATTTGTAATCAGTTAAATTCAAGGCAAAATGTACAGTCCAAATTCTCTGCAGCGAAAGCGCCAATAAGGTGTCCACGCAAAGCTTCGGTTTTGCCCCAAATTCGTAAATTAAAGAGAATACTGTAATATTTCCTTGATCATGTCTTTCAAATCGCATATTAACGATCGGTTTTCCAGATCTTGTCGTTTGTTAGCTCTGCTTGAATTCAGGAGAATCGTCCAGTTCCGGTCAGCATCCAGCAGAAATGGAGATCTGTGAAGAGAGAACATCTATTAGACCGTTAGCAAAGATTTACTTGAATTCGATAGAAAAACTTAATTCAATGTTTGCTTATCGAAACTTAACAAATGCTTATCGAAGTCAAATTTGCTGCCTGCTACGACACTCAGCAGAGCGCAGAGCGCCATCTAGGTCTCAATAAGCCAACGTATAACAGTTGAAAGAGCAACGTTTAACACTTTCTAAAGTCTGGCAGCGCTTGGCCTAACGGCTTTTTATGCCAGCAGTTAGTTAATTCAATTAACATATAAACAAAAAAAAAAATATAATTGAAATATGGCGAAGAGACCGAAGATTGATATGTTGATTATGCGTTTTATTAAAAATATTACATTCTTGACACTCAGCAGCCATATATATCATGTCATATTGGATTACACAAGATCGCTGGCGTCCCCGGATGAAGACATTAATTAATTGGTTGCCATTTTGATTACTAGCACGACAATAAATACTTTAAGTCTATGCAAAAAAAAAAAATACTAAATATATGTATATATATATATTTGGATTGTGTGCTTCTCTATATAGCTAAAAATACAACTGTTCTCGCAGCAGTTAGTTTGGCATATGATAGCTGTCTGGCAACGCTGCTTGGCGTCAGACATCCTCGCTAGAGGCGTGGCAGCCGCCGCCGGAAGTCAGCTCCATTTTGATGGGCGCTGCCGTTGCCACCGTCTGTTGCAGCTGCAGCATTTGATAAGCGCTGCTGCTGCCGATGTTGTTGCTGTTGTTGTTGTTGTTGTTGCCGCTGCTGCTGTGACGCTCCTCGCTTTTAAGCATATCACACTGGGCGTGCGCCTGTGCCTGCGCCTGAGCCTGAGCCTGGGCCTGGGCCTGTGCCGCAAAGCTGCGCACCTGCAAAAAGAGGCCGCCATTGTTGAGGAGGCGCGCCTGATGCTCCTGGGCCTTGGCGCGCAGACAGGCAATCGAGTTGTTCCTGCAACACGAGAGAACACATTAGCATATCGGCTATGCCCGACTGCCTAATACTCTTTTGCAGCTGGCGACATGGCAATCTTGAAATTCATAAGCAAATTTCGATCAATCGCTATGTTTTCGATTCATCGAATATTTATCGAATACTTTAAGATCTGTTTATAGATGCTTTGGATTTGCTTCTTTTTAAGGGTGCTTTCGTTTTTCTTAAGTCAATCTATAAGGCAGAACGTCTTGTCGAACCCGAAACGAACCTTGCTGCGTTGATTTTCATAATATCGATAAATATCGATTCGGCTGAGACTTGTTGCTACAGGAGCTCCTCGAATATTCCTTCTGTCTATCTGCTTGAACTTTCGATCACGGAAACTAGGCTAGGGACTTAAGATTTAAGAAAACTAGTTAATCCTTCCATTCGATATCTTATTAAATGTTCATAATATCGATAAATATCGATACATTGAAGAGCTACATGCAATAAACTCGACGTGTGAACGTTGGATGAGTATAAACAGTTGAAGAATATTTTATTTAATGGGCATCTACAACGCATCTTGGCATATGCCACATTTAACTCCACAAAGTTTCACAAAGATCGGACTATAAGTGCCGAAGTTAATGCAGGCTGCATTCCCATTCCCACATAGCATGAGACTAACAAGAGAAGAAGCACAGCGCTGTGTATGCGAACGGACAGACGAACAGCAAGAGAACCAATGTACTCCTTTCAGCTGGCGAAGGGGAACTGAGTTGGAGAACGTGAAGCTTACCTAAACGCATCCGGATCGTGCTCCATGAGCGCGGCAGCTGCCGCTGCGGCGGACAGATGATGCGCATGCAGCGCGGGATGTGGCAAGGCGGCGGGCGCCGACTGATGTTGCTGCTGTTGCTGCTGCTGCTGCTGTTGGTGGTGTTGGTGCTGAGCAGCTGCAGCAGCCGCCGCGACGGCCGTGTTCATGATCATATGGAAATCCTTGCTGGAGGCGGCGGCGCCGGCCCCCGCTGCATTTGCCGCATCCAGCAGCGGATGATAGCTGGGCGTGGCCACAGAGTAGAGCTGTGTTGCTGGCGGCGGCGGCGCCGGCTGCTGCTGCTGCTGTTGGAGCAACTGCGTCTGTTGCGGCGAGGGCGAGCTGAGCTCAATGTGCGGCGAGCCGGAGCTGTTGGTGGTGGCGCCCGTCGGCGTGGTGGCCGCCGATGAGGCAGCCGCATAGCCGCTGCTGCCGTGCGGCGTTGTTGATGTTGGCGGCGCCGTTGAAGCATTTGTCGGACAGCTGCTCGGCGCCGGGCTGACCACGTTCAAAGATTCCGTCGAGGAGCTGAGCGCGCGCGAATGCGAGCGCAGCTCATCCGAATGCGCTGACTTTGAGCCGGCCGAATCCTCGTGATCGCTGACTCCGGAGTCGTCCTTGAGCGCGGATTGTGCCTCAATCGATTTGCGATGCATGCCTGCGAGAGGCAGAAGAAAGAGAGAGAGAGAGAGAGAGAGAGAGAGCTTTTTAGCATTTCCTTGACTTTATATGCGTGTGCTTCGGTGAGAATGAGTGGGGCATGGATTGGACAGCTAATGACATTAGCTTAAAGAGTCAGCGAGCTTTCCTTCAATGCAATTCCTTTTATTAAAGCTCGACTACTAGAGCTCCGCTTGAAGCTCAAACTAGTATTTGTAGCTTAAAGTGGCAGCGAGCTTTTCCGAAAGCTCGACTCCCAAAGAATACTCAATACTAAATCTTAAATCTTTTGATTAATCAAAGAACTTTGTAGTCAATGCATTTCTAAAAATATATCTGATTTTTTCTTAGCTCCCTTGTGAATAATATCTTAAATGTACTTTAAACATTTTTTCAAGTAGTAATTAGTCTAACGCAATTCTTAAAGCTCGTTTGTGTACACTTAATTTGAAAGTTTAGGGAATTGGTTTAAGCAGACAAATATAAACAGTTAAGCCTAAAAGCTTAAAGTTCAAAGTTCCTCGAACTGGTTACAATTTGGAACTAGTCGGCCCTCTCTTTGATAAAGAGCTTTAAGCTAAAACTTAAAGCTCTTCGAACTAGTTACCCCTCTCTTAGGCCCCGTTAAACAGCAAGAGTTTTAAGTGTATGCAAAAAAGCTCGCCCAAAGCTTTAAGCTTGTCGCACTGATTAAAACTTAACACTTTGCCGCTCTGACTATATTAATTTAAAGCGTGCAGCTCGGATCATAGCGGGTTTTGAACTGACGTGAGTTAACAGATGGCTCAAACCTATCACAACTCGCTTAAGCAGCATATGCATAAGGACTGCCATGCCCGAAACTAATCCCCAATGGCACACCAAGGCATAACTCGATGAAAATAACGCTCGCTAAATGAATGGCAGATAACATTTTGGGCATTATTAACTGGTTGGCCACGCATCAATTGCCAACTAATTTGACATTCACATACTTAATTAAAAAAAAAAAAAAATGAAAATGGAAATGGAAACGAACATTGAATAGAAGAAAAATGCTCGGTGCCAACCTCAAAGCTGAGCCGTTAAGCCACTTAAGCAGCACGGCCCTGGTGCTACTTGGGAATTAATTTGCGAAACACCCAAAGCATTATATCCACTGAGGGTGGCGGGGTGCTCTGGAGGAGGGGGGGGGGGGCAGGGGTGGCAATGGCACAAGTGCCAATAAAACCTGCAGTTCGCTGGCAAAACATTTCAAACAATGCGCCTAGATAAACGATAAATGCCAAATTAAAGCAGTAACTGCAACCCCTGCCCCCTGTACCCAGCCCCCTCCCACGCTAGCTAAGCTCACCCTTCGCCCTGGCATTTTGTGTGTGTGTGTGTGTGCATTTTGCATTTATTAAGCGATTATTAACAAATAAAAGTCAAAAGCAACCCCCGAGAGTTAACCAAAGCACTTGTCAATTGCCGTGTGGCATAAGGGGCAGATGCCAACCCCCCTCCACCCTCTGCCGTTACCGCTGCACACTACCCAGCCCTGGCAGTGCGCCTCGCTAATCCGCAAAGTCATTCCGAGGCAAGGGCCAAGGAAATGTGCGCAACATATGACGACAAAAAGCACAGGACAGCCGATTGAGCCAAAGATGCGACCCGTCCATTGCGACATGCACGCCAAATATGCTCACAATTTGGACAGGATATACAGAGTTATATAACTAGATACGTTTGTGTGTGTGTGTGCATTTTATAATCCCCGAGCTGCGGCTCTTTGTCTCGCTGAAAATTCAATTAAAGTTGCCTCAATTCAATGCGACTTACGTACTGAGAAGAGGAAGGGGCTCGAGAGGGGCAGGAGCTCTTGCCTGGGATAAGTTCTGGCTGGTTTTCTTTTCTTTTTGGCTTTTGGTGTGTGTGTGTGTGTGTGTGTGTGTGTGTGGCATAGTTGATAGTTTGCGATATGATTGTTGCATTTACATTTCTGTTCCATACCTAGTAGCCAGGGTGCCACCGCATCGTTGTCCTTGGCCGACTTGAGTATCGTCTCCGGCAGCGGCAGCGAGTGCCTCACCATGGCCCCGTATAGTCCATATTCGGCCATGATGGTGCTGCCGCCCCAGACCTTTTCGGTTTTACGCCATTTGGCGCGTCGATTCTGGAACCAGACCTGCAAATAAAACAAAAGAGCAAACAATTTTTTTTTTTTTTTTTTTTTTACCAGTTCAATTGCATTTGGTTACGACTGCAAATCGGGTTTATTTTTTTCGCTCTCTGGAATCGCCCAATTCCGCAGTTTATTTAATGTAAACCGAATCCCAGTTGGCGCAAAAAAAAAAAAAAATAGCTACGATTTATGCACATAATTGCTGTTGTTGTTTGTTGACGTTATTCGTATTTAAAAAAGTTGTTCATATAAAAACGCATTTTTTCGAGCGTTTTCTTCTACTGTGTTATATAATATACGATAGCCTTTGTCCATGGGTTAAGCCCGGCCAAGTGCCACAATCAAACCAAGTGGAACGAAACGTAGCTGAGTGGATTGAAACGTAATGGAAATGGAACGAAATTAAAATGGAGCAACGATCCTTTCAATCGAACTTTATAATATGTGATAAGATATTGTTCAGAGCAGGAGAAAACTCGGCCAAGTGCCACAATCAAACAGCGGCCACAAGGGGAACGGAACGAAGTGGAATGGAACGAAATGGAAAATGAAAGCACGAATTCATTGAAAAATTCGTCCTATCGAATTACATAATATTTGCGTCTATGTTTGGTTAGAATATCTTACAAGAAATAGCAAGTTTGCCAGGCAAAAAAGAAGTCTGACCAATTTGGGAATCTGCGCTGCGCAGACACGGACCAAGTTTTTAGTGGACATGAGATTTTGGCTACTTGATTTCATTGGATCTTTAAGGGGATGCCTGACATCGCTGGATGGAGGCGCCATATGGCGCAGGCTATGGCATTGCCACATTCGATCCTTGGACCCTTTGGTCATTGGCCGTTTGGGGGCGCCTCCGAATGCGGCAGCTGCTGCTGTTGCTGCTGTTGCTGCTGGCGCTGTAAATGTGATGCAAATTGCGAATTATTAAATAAAAAACTCGTTGAAATTGAAAAAATGTAAATGGAATGTATTCGAAATGCTAATACACTCGGACCGGACCGTAAAGGCTTTTAGCACCCGCATGAAAGACGCTGCCAGAGCGTCCGATGACAGCAAGAGGAGCAAGAGACGGAGAGAGAGAGAGAGTGGGAGGGGGTCTCTTTCGCTCTGTGTTCACACATAATAGCAAATAATATACATATTCGCATATAAGTGACCAAATTAGATTATCTTCCAAAACATTAAACCGATTTTCATGCAACATGCGGCAGCAGCAACAACAACAACAATGTGTGACAATAATAAGAAAACATTAAATGTTGATCACAAAAGCAGCAGCAGCAGCAGCAGCAGCAACAGCGGCAACAACAACAACTGTCACAATAAAAGGATTTGCCACACGAAAAGGATGAGCCAGGACGAGAGTCACTGAACGAACCACTCTATATGCATAGCGGCGGGGCAAAGTCAAAGCAAAGGATTTAACTTTGAGTTAGCAACCCTCGCACACACACACACACACACACACACACACACACACAGGCAGACTGACAGCAAGGACCTCGTCCACCCCAGAGCGAGAACTGTCTGTCGAAGGACCAAAAAAGAAGTCATCATTTTTCTGGTCCATCAAATCGTTTAGTTCTGCTATTAGTCATGTGCGAGAGACACAGGCACCACTCTTTAGTGCGACAGCTGTAAAGGCGCTTGTCGCTGGGGCAGGGGCAGGGGCAGGGGCAGGGGCCCACTGAAGTGGCTGCGACGCCGCCGACGACGACGACGACGACCAGTGGCAAGCAAAATGAAAATTTATAATAAAAAGCAAAATATGCAAAATAGGTTGGCATGCAAAAAAAAAAGAAGGGGGCAGGGGCGTCGTCTGGGAGGATGGCGGGGGCAGGCAGGGGGTGGTTCGAGACAGGGCAGTGTTGGTTAAGTCTGTACAGCAATGTGGCGACATTTTTGCTGAAATTCTTTTTGGCACGGGCCAAAGACGTGGCAAAAAACGAAAAACAAAAAAAAAAAGAAGAAAAACTGAGCGATTGAACAAATCGCAACAAATCGCAGGGGCTGTGTGCAGGAGGGGGTGGGAGGGGTTTGCTTTTGTGCCGTTGTTGGGGGGAGGACGCATAGGTGCGGTGGGGTAGGCAGGGGTTTGGCAAGAGCCACTGAAAACGAAGATAAAGTGTTTTGGCATTTGCTTCTGCCAGTTGGGCCCTTAGGTGCCTACGCATTTGGCGTCATAAAATGATTTATGCTTGGCAGGGGCGTGGCAGAAGGGGTTGTAGGCGTGGAAGGGGGAAAGGGGGATTGCAACTGACAACTTGGCTCATAAATTTGGGCATCTGAGAAATTGGCAGCGTCCAAAATGGCTGGCAGCCACTCAGTGCGCTTCGTTGCAGCCCACTAAATTTAGTGGCTAAGACGCATTTTGGCCAAGTGCCAGAATTGACAACAAAAAAAAAAAAAACAATGGGATTAAATGCAAGACGGGAAAGAGAAATGAAACGAAATGGTAGTAGAACAAAATGAAAATGAAACGAAATGACATTGGAACAATGTGGAGAACGCAAATTTAACGAAATCGGAATGAAAGAAAATGGGAGGATGAAATGAATATTCAACGAAATGGGAATAGAAGAAAATGGGAACGAAACGAAATTAAAATTGAGCGAGCTGCAAATGAAACGAAATGGAAATGAAATGAGATGGGAATTGAATGAAATGCAATGGAATGATATGGAAACTATGCAAAATGGAATTAATATGCAATGGAAATGAAACGAAACCAAATGAAATATCTTACCAATCGACTGCTGTGCATGCTCGTTACAGCGAGCCAATTAATAAGGAGATAGCCTATTTATGCCTTAGATGCAAAATATATGCTTAAATATTCCATTTTCTGACATTTCTCATATTGGAACGTCAAGAAATGAAACAGTAGATCGATACTTCGAGTGCTCTGAATTCTGTGAAAGTTTCTTAGTTTCATAATTCCATTAAATACCCAAAACACAAAACACAATTTCCATTGCGTAAAGCTACTTTTTGTCATGACTTAATGCTATAAACTGTAAAGGCAACGGAGCGGAACGCGTTGGAATGAAACAGCATGTCAATTGAGTTGCAGCTTTTGCATGAATGAAGAAGAGCTCGAAATTGAAATGCTGTTTCTTCTGATGCATTCACAACAAATCAACGATAACTCAGTCCCAAATCGATAAATATCGATTATCCAGAAAGAAGAAGCGAGCCTTGCAGCACTTGCTCCAGTGTATGTCCCAGTCGTGCACGCCCGACCAGGGCGCACCTACTTGTTGTCCGCTGGAGGCTTGTGGAAGTGCCTCCAGTGCTTGGTTAAGTGAAGCACACTCATGGGAATTGGATCGATGGTGTTCGAGCCGGCTGTAGGATGCGATTACCTCTAGCTGCCGCTGGCTGTGGCCTGTTGTTGTTGTGGCTGTTGTTGTTGTTGTGGCTGTTGCTCAGGTGGAGCTGCCAACTGCTGCAAAATTAATTTACACACACGTACGCACACACACACACAGAGCGCGGGGCAACACGAGCTGCACTTAAGAGCATTTTGGGCGTGGCAGCTGGGCAGCTGGCGCACAAAAGCCTTACCTTTGCCTATGCCTTGCCCTGCCCTGCCTTGCCTTGCCTTGGCTAGGGGCAACACGAAATCAAATTAATCCGGTTTGTTATTTCATCATGCAACGTCAACGTCATCATCATCAGTTGCAACAACAGACAAAAGGCGCAGCAGCAGCAGCAGCAGCAGCAGCAGCAGCAACAACAATTTGCAATAATAAATAGCAAGAGCAACACACGCACACACACACACACACACACACACACACACACACACATGAGGGCACACACACAGCGTCGTGTAAACAAACGTCTGCCAAAGGAGCGGAAAATTTCATTAACAAGGCACACAAGCAACAACAACAACAACAACAACAACACCCAATTTGCTGCTGCTGCTGCTGCTGTGGGTCCGCTGGCCGTGCCACCAAAAGCTCCTAGCCGATGCGAGGCACACAGCCCATCCCAGCCCAGCCCAGCCCCCACCCGCAGCTGCCGCCCTCTTGTGCCGCCCCTAGTTATCAGCATCAGCACCAGCCCCTCCTCTGCCGCCTGCCCCCTGCCCCCTGTACCCCTTACATGCCATGCTCCGAGCACTGATAATTTAATCAACTCTCATTGAATTATATCATTTTGCAATTTGGCCACGCTGCTGCCTGCCTCTGTGCAGCATGCAACATCGACAGCGTTCCTATCCCGCCCCAGCCACGCCCTCTTCACTTGTCCTACGTTCATTTCCATGCAAATTCAATTCTCATTATGATAGCATCCAACGAGCTGTCGCTTCAGCCGAGCGTCCATTTTGAGTGCGGAAATCAAAATAGGAAATGCCATAAATTTGCCCCAAAACGGAAACTCGTTGACAACCTCTCTCTCTCTATCTCTCTTTCTCTCTTTCTCTCTCTCTCTCTCTCTCTCTCTCTCTCTCTCTGTGTGTGTGTGTGTGTGGTTTTAGCTGCCTGGTTCACTAAATGCTGCTTTACACCTTGTTCTCTATGTAAACAATCCAATCGTATTATTTGTCCACTAAGTCCGTTCGGTTGCCCATTGGAAAGCTAAGCTCTCGAAAGTATGTTTATAGGGAATGCACGCCCGGCCCCAGTCCCCGTTTATATTTTCACTGTATTTACCTTATGAGATAAATTTGCACAATATGACGGGACTTCGGTCCATTCCACTCACAAGTGTGGAAAAATCGCGAAAGGCGTAAAACTCATTTTCATAGATTTTTGTTTTAATTCATTTGAGGGGAGTTTCACAATTTTCGAAAAATTCATTCCTCCTTGCTGGAAATGGGGGTCTAAGATTTGATGGCTGATGTTTTCCAAGAATTTTGATAAAAACAAATATGCTCATACTTAAATATTCATACTTTATAAATAATTAATGGACTTAAGTCCTCAAGTCTTTGCTTCTGCTTTTTAGCTGCTTGTTAAAGTTTGCCATCTGAAGTTATTTAGCTTAAA